TTTTCTGTTTGCATTTATGTTACACGCAAAGTTAAAACTGTTGTTCCACGAAAAAGTGTGTCAATTTAATTTACATTTAAATTCTTATTACCATTTATAATAACTTATTATTATGCCATATTATCGTCTTAAGGGTAATATAAATTACTAAGAAAACCAAACTTTTACAAGCATCTTTGTTAGATTGTGATCATTATGTTTATACATCAGTAAAATTAGTAAATTAAATTAACCTTGATCTCATTGTTATTCTTATAGATCTCATAAAAGCGATTCGTGCCTGTAAAACGGCAGCTGATGAACGAACTGTCATTCAAAAAGAATCAGCAGCAATACGTACAAGTTTCAAAGAAGAAAATAATGATGCACGACATTCAAATGTGGCAAAGCTACTTTACATTCACATGTTAGGCTATCCAGCTCATTTTGGTCAAATAGAATGTTTAAAACTAGTTGCTTCAAATAGATTTGCAGATAAAAGACTTGGATATTTAGGAATAATGCTTTTATTGGATGAGAATCAAGAAGTATTAACTTTAGTTACTAATTCTTTGAAAAAGTAATAATAATAGATTTTTTTGACATTATTGTATATATATTTTTTAAATTAACTTTTTAATTGATGTTATTAAGTAACAATTATATTTTTTAGTGATATGAACCATTCAAATATGTATGTTGTAGGATTAGCTTTGTGTACTATGGGTAATATATCATCACCAGAAATGGCACGCGATTTATGTGCTGAAGTCGAGAAATTATTGGGTAGCTTCAATACTTATATTAGAAAAAAGGTTTATAGCATAATATTTTTGATGATTATTCTTTCCATTTTATATTTTAACTGTCAATTTAATTTTAAAAAAAGGCGGCATTATGCGCGATGCGCATTATTCGTAAAGTTCCTGAATTACAAGAAAATTTTCTTTCAAAAGCAAAATCTTTACTAAATGATAGAAATCATGGAGTTTTACTTACTGCCATTACTCTTATAACAGAAATGTGTTCAAAAAATTCAGAAACTTTGCAAGCATTTCGCAAGGTTTATAATTGATTAAATAATTATGATATATATCTATTGAATCAAATTTATTGATCATACATATTTTCATATTGCCATTAGGCAGTTCCTTTGTTGGTTCGGCATTTGAAAACCTTGGTTTCTGCTGGATTTTCTCCCGAACATGATGTTACTGGTGTAACTGATCCATTTTTGCAAATTAAAATATTAAGGCTTTTAAGAATTTTGGGTAAAGGTGATTCCGAAGCTAGCGAGGCAATGAATGATGTTTTGGCACAGGTTTTTTTAATTTTTCTCTATTATTAATTCACTCAAACAATTTAATTAATAAACGAATTAACGACTGGGTTAATTTAATACATTTAGGTCGCAACAAATACTGAGTCAGCAAAAAATGTTGGAAATGCAATTTTATATGAGACTGTACAAACTATTATGGAAATTCAATCAGAAAGTGATCTTCGTGTATTAGCAATAAACATCCTAGGAAAATTTTTGACAAATAGAGATAATAATATTAGGTAGAAAATTTTGTTATTATGTATGCAGAAATAATAGAATTTTATTTATTTATTAATTGTTATTTTTATTCTAGATATGTTGCTCTTACTACATTAAATAAAACAGTGACATTAGATACTAATGCAGTACAACGGCACAGAAATATAATACTTGATTGTTTACGTGATGCTGATATTTCAATAAGACGACGTGCGTTAGAGTTAACTTTTGCATTAATTAATGAGTCAAATGTTAGAGTTTTAACTCGTGAGTTGTTGGCATTTTTGGAGGTGGCTGATAATGAATTTAAACAAGGTATGACTACAAAGGTTTGTTTGGCTGCTGATAGGTAAAGATTAAATAAAATATACATATATGATTATCAATCTAAATTGAAATTACAAAATTAAAAATAAAATTATTATTTTTTTTATTTTAGATTTGCTCCTAACAAAAGATGGCATATTGATACAATATTACGAGTATTGAAATTGGTGTGTTTATATTACCTTTATTCAATAATAACGATATGTTTGTGTGTAAAATTTAAAGGTTTTTTAATAATTTAGGCAGGTAATTACGTCCGTGAAGAGATACTGTCAAACTTCATTCGACTTGTTGCTCATACATCAGAATTACATGCCTATACTGTACAGAAATTATATTCTGCTTTAAAAGATGATATTTCTCAGGTAAATAATAATGACAATGATTATTATAATTAACACTTTTGCTTTTTGTAGAGAAAAAAATTAAAATTTTTCTTTTGATATTGTATAGGAATCACTAACATTATCCGGTGTTTGGGTAATTGGAGAGTATGGTGATATATTGATTAAAGGTGGTAATTTTGAAGAAGAAGAATTAGTAAAAGAGGTAATAGAAGTTTTTTTTTGTTTTTACCATTAAAAATATTATAATTTATTTTTTCTAAAATTTTAATCTGGGGAAACTTAAATTTAGGTAACAGAGCCAAATGTTGTTACTTTGATTGAATCAATTTTAGATGGGCCATATTCAAATCAAATCACTAGAGAATATGCACTAACAGCATTGATGAAATTAACATCACGTTTCACCAATTCATCTGTCATTCAAAATATCAAATCTATAATTGAAAAATATAGCACCAGTATAGAAGTTGAGATACAACAGCGTTCTGTTGAATATACTAATCTATTTAACTTTGATACTATTCGGCCTGCTGTACTTGAAAGAATGCCTGTACCTGATTATAAAGAAGAAACTTCTACTTCACGCCCAGGTATTACATGTGTTTTTCAATATATTTTTTTATTGGAACATTATTTTTTATTCATTCATTGTTTTTTATTTTTTATCGATTTTATGATCGTTTAGTTTATGATACAATATCTGATTCTAATAATGGTAGTGGAAGTGGAACAAATAGTGGAAATGTTAGTATTTTATTATACATATTAACATAATATATGTGTTATTTTTGATTATTATACGTGTTAAAAAAAAAATTTTTCTTTTTAGGCTCTTTTAGATTTCGAAAGTGAAATAGTTGATGTTGGTAGTAATAGTAATAGTAGCAATAAACAAACAAATACATCATCAACGTCTCAAAATACAGCCGACATTTTGGCTGATATTTTTTCATCACCATCTACCACCACCACCACAACTTCAACGACTGCGGCACCAACGAAAGATGATATTATGAATTTATTTAACATTCAACAGCCTGCAACAACAACGATAACTACTCCAGAAATTACAACAATATCATCACAAAAAAATATGATTTCACAACAACAACAACCACCATCATCATCTTTAATAGATCCTTTGGATGGTTTACTAGGATTAGGAAGTAACACATCAAATATTGCTTCACAATCTATTACATCAACAACACCATCCGTTAAACCTGTCAGCTCTACTTCTAGCAATAGTGGTAGTATTGGTGGATTTGGTGATATAAGCGCGCTTAATGCAACGGAACTTGGTAGTTCAGGTGATTGCTAACACCTTAATAATATTAATGGCTATTTTTATCACCGCCGCCGCTATTACTTATAATATTATTCATTTTTTATATAAATATATAGATCAATATGTAGCTTATAACAAAAATGGTTTTAAGATTACATTGAATCCGACTAAAGATATTAATAACCCAAATCTTCTTGATATTTTGGTTACATTTTTAAATATTGGAGTGGGATCAACTGTTCAAAACCTTTTGTTCCAAGCTGCTGTCCCTAAAGTATGTTGTTGTATTTTATCTATTTTTAATTTTTTGATTTTTATCTTTGATATTAAATTTGATAAATTTTTTCTTGGGAAAAAAATTATAAAATAAAATATAGACTCAAAAATTACAAATGCAACCACCTTCTTCAACAACAGTTATACCTGGTTCATCAGTAACTCAATTAATTCGTGTTATGAATCCTGCAAAGGTCCGTCTTACTAATATATATATCATTTTGTTCAATTGAAATTTATTTTAAAAATAAATATTTTTTCCTTCATATGTATATACAACTATCTCATAGACAAATGTAAGATTAAGACTTAGAACTGTTTATCAAACATCGGCAGGCGGTAAGGTGGACGAAATTTCTGAATTTAATGGGTTTCCTCAAGAATTTTGGTAAACAAGATTAAAGTATGGTAACCACTGGTAATATTATTGTTCTTTTAATATGTATTATTATTTATTTGTTATATTTATTTTAGCCTTTTTGAGATAATCCTGGTTATTATTTGTTATTTTTGATTTTATTTATTAGAAATAAATTCTATTTTGTAAAAATCATAAATGACAATAAGTTATCACATGAATGAATCATTGTTTTGTAAGGAAATGATATTAATCAATTCATTCTTATATGAAAAAATATATTAATATAGTAAATAGTAATTTAATAAAATAGTGATATCCACATATAATAATAATAATTTTAATTAGCTTTACAAATTGAAAATTTTAATCCTAACTTTTTCAGATGATAATTCTACCGGCCAATCAAAAATAAAATATCAACAATACACTGAATGATTTTATAAAAAATAACAAGATAAAATTATCATTAATCGGGTCAATAAGCGTTTTGAGCATATGTTATCCAATTGACAATATTGACAATAAACTGCACGTATTTTTTCCCATCAGAGATCGGTTCACCTTTAAACCATTTCCGATGAACCTCTTTTACAACCAGAACATGGCAGTAAAGTGATCTCCATTTTCGATAGCTCAAGATGATTAATCTCTCAACGCGATGTGTGTGCTTATACCTATACTCTTTGGCAGGAAATGATTCCAGTAATTTAGCCTTGTAATTCATTTTTTTTTCCCATTGTTTAGACGCTGATCAACGTTCTTACATTGTCACCCAATTGTTTCGTTCTTCACTTGATTTGGACAAAATTTTTATTCCTTACTTTTTTCATTTTCAATTCATCACTAGTTCCATATCAGTAAAGAATTAATTTAGATTTATCAATTGGAAGTGTTAACATCCACAATGATACGTGAAAACCAAATACAATATTCAATATCAATAAAAATTGACACAACCAATGGATTGATGATTTCTTCACGATATCTAAATTCACTAGCTTTAGCATCATACAACAAACTTCGTTTTCTTGCCAATTCTATAGACCTATTATAAAAAATTTTTGACTTTTAATGTTATGCTACAAGTTTTTATTTATAAGTTTAAGGTTGCTTTGTTAAAGGTAAATAATACATAGATTTGAAATGTTGCATTAAATATAATATTCAACTTGCACATTTTTATAAATTATACCAGTTTATATTATACATTGTACCTTCTTCAATAGGATCTTTAATAAATTCTCTTGCCAACTCATTTAAATTGATGTGCATGCTTTCAATATCAATATATCTATTAACGACTATATTATGCTTCTCAATTAATTGTTTTAATGAACATTTTTCATATGATTTTAGTTTAGTTGCCAAATTTGGCGACTTCGTAATAAATAACTTGGTTCGCATGCTCGCAGGCTATAAATAATTATGACAACTTTTACGACTTTAGGGTATCACGTTGAATTTATTTACATAATAATAATGCCAAATTGCCGTAATTCAGTGGGATGCCCTAATTAAATCAAAATTAGGTGATGTAACATAATGCCGATTAATAACACTTTTTTTTAAAAAATCAAAATATATATTAAAAAACTATATAAATAAAAATTGTATCAGGGCCTTCAAATAAAGAGATACAAACATGAAACTAAGGGAAATTATAGTAAATAGATCAAGCTTTTAGATTACGGAGAGTTTACATTTTTTTATATATAGTAAAGATATTGAAAAAAAAATTGCTAATAGATAAACTTTATAACCAAATGAGATGGGACAAAAGGCTCTCTGTAACTTTAAAACTATAAAAGGTTTCATTCAGTTTTATTATAAAAAAAATCAAGTTGTCATGATTTAAAGTTATTCGATTTATTATTAAATTTTACCACAATAAAATTAGCGCTTGTTATTCAAAGTATCAATATTTAGATGTATTATTATTTATATTTTTTGTATTTTTTGTACAATTATCAAAATACCACGCGATGATCGGCGATTACTTGGTTACTGAACTCCTTGTTATAACGGACAATTGAGGTCAAAATTTGTAATAATATAAATGTAATTATTTCAAGAAATAGAAATTACATTTATCATTAGGTGATTTTCCTTTGTCAAACCAAAACTATACCACCAACAAAGCATCTAATCTAATTCACCATGTTTCATATTAACTTTTGCTAGGATCTCATTAAGATTTGTTTCCATTATATCAACATAAGCCCTTTATTATTGTAAACTAGCATTTTCTGAAAACTGATGTCTATATCATTCACATATTTAGAGACAAATCCTTTATACTTTATATTATCTAGTTAAATTGTGATATTTTTCTACAGTTTTATTACGTGTTTCAATTTCTTTTGTAAGAGTTTTTACTGAATTTACAAGTATTTGTCATTAAACTGCTATTTCTTTGAAATTGTATAAAGCCGTAATCATCTCGTAAAATACTCATAAAGCTAGAAATATCTTTTTCCATAATTAATTTTTCGTGAAATAATTTCTCCTCCAAACTCGTTATCTAAAGTTCAATGTGTGACTTCCAACTTTGGCATAGTTTTTCATCAGGGACTATATTGTAAAAGAAATTCTTAAGATTACTTAAACAATTAATGGTTAATTTAGAAACACGCTTTTTAGAAGAAAAGCTTTGTGCACTAAAATTTAAGTATTCTAAGTTATTACAACCTTGAATATACAAATTTTTGATTCCGTTTTCTTTGCAAGAAATTGCGTTTAACCTTTTGAAATTGATAATTTTCAGCACCGTTTAAGATTTTTAAGGAGCCGCGTCCATCTGTATTTAATTTAAAAATTGCAGAAGCAGTACAGTATATTTCTTTAAACCATCACAGTCTAATGATGAAAAGGATAATAGTTTCTATATATAACAAACTTTTTAATCCACTTAAATGCTTAACCTCCAATCATTCTCTCTTTTTTAGTTCGTTTATTAGTTGACTCGAGCTTGACATTTTGGCCTACATATTTCCTATCTACTCCTAAAATTTGGTAGTAATCTTTTCCAGTTGCAACAATTATCATCCTACTTTCTTGTCCATCATTTTCCTTGTTCTTGTTTACTAATTTTAGTATCTTTCAAGTTGATTGCCATAACAACACAAATCAGTTAGTTAAGTTATTCTTTAAATATAAACTGCTTGAACTATTTAAACCTACATTTAAGCTTTAATTTGAAGCACCCTTCAAAAAATTGTAAAGAAAATTTTGAAAATGATCGGCGAAAAAATATTCTGCAACAAAAACCAAAGTATTGGTATATATTACCAAGAATTTCAGGGGTCAATAGTTTGTTTAAAATCACAATTGTATTACATAACGTGATCACGATATTATTTTTTTTTTCTTAGGATTGATTACCATTACCTTTAGATAAAAATAGTTAATATGAAGCTAATTTACATTAGGTCTACAATGGAACCCAAGAATTATAGCACCATTAGAAGTATTTTGAAGAAGGAACAAGGTGAAAAATTTGCACCTTACATTTTCAAAATAGGCAGTTTCTATTTGTACACTACGTGTGTAAGCACGGTGTTACGTTGCGCATTATTTTACATTATATTGGTTCAAAATCACATTGGATCATCCCATCATTTGATTTAAACAACCTTTTTTGGCCATTTTTGGGAAGTTGAACAAGTGCCAACCACACAATCTCTAACCATTACTTTATTTTATCATATCAGATTATCCCATCATTTTCACAAATCAACCTTGTCTTGTGTTATATATACGCACATGCGAATCATATGTAAGATGCAAAATGAAATGTTACGTGTTTCAGGGTGTCCCAAACCCTCAAGCAAAACATTCACTCTAAAAAAGTTTAAAAAAAAGTTAATTTTTTTTATTGATGCAAATTTTATTATGTAATGCGCGTGACACGTCTACATACACTATGTGTTTGCTAAGAAATTTTCTTCAAAATAAATGATACTCAAACACTTGAGCTTATCTAAGAAAAGGAAGGATTACCTATGAAATTTACCAAGAAAAAATAATAATAAATGTTGGAAAAAGAAAGTATCATGAGACTCTTAAAGAACTTAGAAGGAAACATAACTAGATAAATCAATGTCCTCCAGTCCACTAATTAATATACTCAATTAATAGAACTAAATATATCGTGTAACGTCTGAAAAACGAAATAAAAATAGTAATAAAAAAGAAATTATATTCGTAGCGGTTTTAATTGTTACACTCATGTTGAAACATTATAAAAACATCACTGATTCGAATATTGAACGTTGCATCCATGATGAATTATTCCAATAGTACCATACTGGAATTGTTTTCTTATCAATATCACGAATACATTTTGGATTTTTATACTTATGAATAAATACAGCTGGCAATTTATGAGAACCAGTTGCATTACATGCAAGCATTATTGTAATTCTATCTTTAGGTTTTTTGTGCCAGTGATAGGACCACTACTGAGAGTTGTTGGGTTCTAACTCCCAATAGAGAGCAGTTTCGTCAGCATTATATACATCATCAAGTCATATAAAGATTTTAATTTAGCTCTAAATTCTGGTAAGTCATCAATTGGTGTACTTGCTGTTTCACCCACTTTGTAATGTTCTTTTACACCTTTTATTTTTTTTAAAATTTGTAAGCCATCCCTATTAAATAGTAAATAAAATGATTAAAATAAAATGAAATTTAATAAATAAAATAATCAAAAAATTGATACTTACTTGTGAGGCTGTAAAATCCAATAATTTCGAGTCTTCTAGCATAATCCAGTGCCTTTTGACAAATGATGGAACCAGTTATGGTATAATTGGCTCTATTGGTATTATCAATCCAAATTGCTAATGCTTCTTCCAATTGTGGCCATTCACCTCCACGATCTCGTTTAGTATCAGCTGAACTCTTAGTAATTGCAAGCCATTTCTCCTTATCTCTAAGGATATCTCCTACATTTGATTTACCAATTCCGAATTTATCCACCAATTTCTTCACATGTCTTGCTTGAATTGGCATTCTTATATTCACATAATTCTTTTTTTTTTTGAATATTAGTAAATGTAACTAATTTTCTTCCTTTTTTGCTTCCGAATCTACTGGATGTTCCTTCCACAATTATAATTGGTTTGTTATTATTAAGAAGAGATGGAAAAGTTAATAAAATAAAAGGACAGGTAATAAACGAGTTAGAAAAGATAATTCCGATTATTGAGAAATTCAGAAGGTTGGGAGAAATCTACCCTTTTTATACATATTTTTGAACATAATAAATCGTATATTATTAATGATGAGTTAATAAACCATGAATTATTTAATGATGAGACAACAAATTGCGAATTATTTAATGATGAGGTAATAAATCATGAATTATTTAATGATGAGACAACAAATCGCGAATTTATTTAATGTCGAGATATTAAATGACATAATTGATAAATATAACAATAAAATACATTATTTGCAAAGATAAAATTTTTAAAATGATTATAATTGATAATAATATTATTCACGAAATGGATTTATTACAAATCACGAAATTATTATTACAGATCATACATTACTAAAAATAGATCTAAATCAACAAAAAAATTTTTTTAAAAAAATGGCAACATACGAGAAAATCGAAAGTGAATTAAATAAAGCGAGAGAGGATTATAGAAAGGCGGAGAAGGAGTTAAGAGAATTCATGGAGGAGGAAAATGTGAAGAAGTTTAAAGAATTGTGGGGAATGGAGAAGTTGAAAGAAACAAAGAAGAGGCAGGAGAAGAGCAAAGAAAGGCTGGAAAAGCATGTGATAATGTTACAGGGTGTGTTGGTTGATTTCGATAAAGAAGGTAAAAAAAATATTTTCCATTCATTTCATTTCATTTATTTATTTATTTGTCTGTAGAATATTTGAACTACTATTTACAATTATAATTAAACTTGTCATCTGTTTCATTCTTTATTTATTTTTTTATATTTATTTTCTTTACATTTGTTCACAATTACTATTTCCTTTATGCCATTGAATAACTTTCACAGGAAAAAGAAGACAGTCATTTTCTTTTGATGAGAGAAATGAAAGCAAGAGACTCAAGCAAGCAGGTATGTAATATTATTAGCACATTCTTATATAGAATTTTTCATTTTTTAGAACTGGCAAGTGAAAGAATAATTGAATTTTGGAAAGCTGCTTTATCATTAATGATTAATCCAGATGATAAGTTTACTTCCTTTCCAGATGATGTGAATATCTTTGGTAGTGAGGATTTTGGATCCAATTTCATAATTCGTGAATGTTATATGGATTTGTGGAAATTGATCACTGAAGATAAAAAGTATAATGGTTGGATTGTCACTGGAAATCCTGGCATTGGAAAATCAATGTTTGGCCTTTTTCTTTTGATACATTTGACTAAACAGGGGAAAACTGTGAAATATGAACATTTCTTAAAGAAGCATCAACATAAATTTCAACCTAACGGTTGTATTTTCAAAGGAGAATTTGAAAAAGAATTACTGGATGATAAAACTTGGTATATCATGGACACAACAGTTCCGAAAACTCTGGATGTAAATGCAAAAAGGTTTTTATTAGCTCTCCAGATGATGATGCCATGAAACAATTTCGAAAACAGTCTACAACTGCAAGAAAATTAATAATGCCCTCATGGACAAAGGAAGAGATAATAGATAGCCATAAAAAAATTTATAGTCATATTTCTGAAATAAGGTTTCTGATCGAAACTGTTTCTATTAGTAGCTGAAATTGCCCAAATACTTTGGGCAAAAATTATTTTTTTATAAGCCCAAACTACTTTTTGTTATTAGCTGAAATTGGGCGAAATTATTTTAAAGTTGTTTAAGTTAAAACAAGTTGATTCATATAGTTTTTTAATGTTCATGCTTATAGAAAATGTTGAGAAGCCCAAATTGCTCAAACTAGTTTGGGCTTTGAGAAAACAGTTTGGACCAGAAACCTTATTCCGAAGATGAGGTTAACAAACAATATGATTTGTGAGGAGGTATCCCTAGGTATGTATTTGACCCAGAAAAGTGGACAGAAGATCAATTACTTCTAGAAATAAATCAATTATCAAGTGAGATACATGCTAATATTGTCAATGATGGAAAGTTTAGTTGTGAGACAAGACATAAAATATATCACATTTACACAAAACCACCAAAATATAATGATATATACATGGAATTTGTCTCACCCTATGCATGCAAGAAAGTTGCAGAATTGTATGAACAACAGCATAAATCAGAACTGCTTGCTTTTTTGAAAGCAAGTGACTATGGAGTATGGGGAAGTGTACATGGAAATTTATTTGAAAATTATGCTCACAGAGTAATATCAAGGAGAGTGACTTTTAATGTACATGAACTTGGTCAATCTGCTACAGAATCTAAAGAAATTAATGTAGAATTTCCTAAATACAAATTAAAGGAATACAAAGACATTAGTGAAATTGAAAATAATTCATATTGTATACCTCATTCCAAAACAAATGAAGGATTTGATTCATTGGTTCCTCCAAATAAATTTTTTCAAATGACTGTGAGCCATGCTCATCCAATAAATTGAAAAGATTTAAAAGAGTCAAATGTTTGATGGATGGTGAAGATATTTGTCTTTATTTTGTTGTTCCAGAAAGCACATAAAAAAATTTTATAAAGAGCAGCAAATATTGACATCAGAAAAGAAGATTACTAGTGATAGGTGGGCTAATGGAATAAAGCAATATGCTCTGTGTATTATTTAGATTAGATAGAAACTCATTTTTCATTATACTATTTTTTTGATTGTTGTCATTGATAACAATACTATTATTGTTTTAATAATTTTGTATCCATTGTCTTTAATCTCTATGTTTTTAATATTTTCAATTAAACTCTAGTAATAGTTATTAGATATCAATTCCAAATAAATATAATGATATAAATAAATTTAATCTTTCAATGAATATTGCTAGTTTTTAAAGTAAAGAAGTACTAAAATAATTTATATACTTAATACGCCCTTACAAAAGGATATAAGTATATTAGAAGAATAAATAAAAAAAGAAATCATGAAAAACATAATAAATGAACTTGAACAAAGAAACAAACAACAATTAGAAGAAATTAACAGCATCAATAAGAAAAAAGAAGTGGAAGTTGAAGACCTTAAACTAAAAATCTGACATGTAACTAGTTATCTGACTGGCCCTTTCTGATACAAAAATCTAAATCAAAAATGATAGATGAAGGTAATTAAGAATGGCTAAAGATCTTAATCATCCTAGCTGAATTTTGAAAGAGTTTATTTAGATAATATCACTATTGAAGGAATGTTAGGTGAGTTTTGTGATAGTTCAAAAGATTTAGCTTCTACTTGTGCTAAATATATATATTTCAGAGTCAAACAGAAAAGATCAACAACTTTTTGAACAAAGCAAAGAATATAAAGAGAAAATCAAAGAGTTAGAAATTGAGATTAAAGAGCAAGAAAACAGAATAGAAGAGTTAGAAGATGAAGTATGAATGGAATGTGAAGAAGCTGGGAAAGCACTAAATACAGCTATGAAGTGGAGGAAGTGTCAAATGTTTGGAATGGTTTTGAAGCATTATGCTGCAATGGGCAAAGTTCTAGACCAAATAGACTTGTTGGAAATAATTTGGTGGCTAATATCAGGAAATAAACTCAAGGGATTACTTAGAAAAGAAAGAATTACTGGCTTTACCAGAGAAACAAAAGCAAAATAGATTGTGAAAACTTAAACAATTGGTAAGTAAAGTAAAAGGAAAGACCAAGGAGAAGTTCCAAACTTTCATTATTCAGAAAAGTAAATAATTGTATGAAGTTAGAATATGGAAATAGCAAAGAGTGATGAACAAGAATGTAATTTTTGTTATCTAAATTTGATGTAAAGACTAGTGCCGTAAATTATGATGATGGTAGTAATTGTATTTACGGCATATAAAAAGTGGTTGCAATTACCTTTGCGACCATTTTTGCAACCATACTTTTTCCTTTTTTGGATTACGGCACTAGTCTTTAATTTGATGATCCAACTAATTTCAATTTTGATACTGCACCTGCTACTCACCAAATGGTAGCTCATAATACTCCTGATGGTTACTCTGATATAGTTTTTATTTGTAGCAAATGTAAAAAAGATTATGACAATGACATTTTCCCATGCTGTGAAAAATGTGGTAGGTTAAAGAGGAACAGAAATAGGTGCTTTTGTAGCCATTTGAAAGCCAAATCAGCCAAACCACTTTCTGATAAAGAACTACTTTCACAGGCTTTTAGTTCTCATCTAGAAAATAAAAATAGAGAACTAGAAAGAGAGTTATCAACTGCAAAGAAGAATTAAATATCAAAAGGGAAGAAGTAACTAGGTTTCAAGAAAAGTCTGAGGAATGAAGTAAAAAGCAGAAACAAGAATTATTGGATAAGATAAAGGGTTTAGAAGAAAAATTAAGCAACTATGGTGCAAGTCACTTAGTCGCTGAACTTTTTATTGGCTGTGTAGATCCTATATCCTCTCCAAAAATGGAAAT